AAGTTTGCGGCGCCCTCTCTGAGTGACGCATCTCTCGTCCTATCGGCGTCGTGGCTCCCCCCCCCCCATGGGATGGGCGGGTCCTTCGTGACGTTTCATAAGCCGATTGGCGAGAAGGCGGGCCGGTAGGCGGGTTCCTTCCTCCCTCCGCGTCCAATGACGGTGATCAACTTTATTTCATATGGCGCCTTTCAAAGTAGCAACAACAACAGTGGAAAAAAAAAACAACAGCAACAGAAGCATCATGAAAATACACACAATGAGAGGAGACAGTAGATGGCGGTAGTGAATAGAGCAGGCGCAGAGGAGCAGATAACACAGAGGAAGTTTGAGTCTGGAGTTGAAGGAGCTCAAGGAAGGCGACAACAAATAATAATAATAATATAAACTTTATTTTATATAGCGCCTTTAAAGGTGGCTTCTCAAAGCGCTTTACAGAATGACAACAACAATAAATAAGAAGCATACACCAGATAAAACACAATGACAACACCGAGGATGGTGAGGACCGAGACCAGTGAAGTAAAGGCTCTTCTGAAGAGCAGGGTTTTGAGAATGGAGTTGATAGGAGTTTACAGATGGTGAAATAAGTGTCGCCAGGTCTCAACTGTGAAAAAAAACAGAACTATAAGCTTGGAAGAAGCTCAGAACCCTGTTCATCGGGACAGTTTCTTCACACGTCTGTGCCCACGTGTGATTCCCACCCCCCGCCCCCGGTGCCGAGGTCTGTCTGTCCGTCTGGAAAAGGGAAGAGAGACCCGGAAAAGTAGAATAAGCTAGAACAGCTGGATAGAGAGAGCACTCTATCGATCCCGTGAGGGGAAATTGCAGAGCAACAGCTGCTTAACGCAGTCAACGTCGTAGGGGGGAGCCGGACCGGTCTCAAGCGTTAGTTAGTGCTGCGTTTGTGCCGTTGAAAGTAACTTCCCAGCTGGTTCCCAGCTTCCCAGAGCCTGCATCGAGCCTCCCAGTGCGCGCGTTCGCTTGTAGCAGCTCGATACACGCCCGACCTGTGGGAGCTGAGCACGAAGAGGTTCTGAAATGTCCCCTGTTAACAAATGACAAGTTTTGGGATGCATGCATAACATTAAGATGGTATTGACGGAGAGAGGCGAGTGCGCATTTTACAGTTAGCTATTCAGCTCGCCTCTAAATGCCCTGCAGTATTGTTAAGTGAACGACGTTTACAGAGCTAAAACACACCCAAAATACGTATTTGCCGCTTTTATTAGCAGACCATTCGTGCAATTAAAAGTACGATGAGTTGGTTAGTACTGTAATGCGACTGTAACAATTCAGTGTCAAGTCTTGTGGGCAGTCACGAATTTCCAAATTCGGTGTCTTTCGGCATCGGAAATAGAATACTGCTTTCGTGGGTTTCATACAAGTTTCAAAGCATCATGAGGGATCGAACAAGATCTACAGAACTTAATATTTGAATACCTTCGCAGTTTTTATTCTCGTGGCGCCTCACTCGGTAGTACCCTCGGGGCGATGCGTTTACTCCGACCTCTGAAAGCCACACCCGCCTGCACGTTCTTCGGGTATGTTGTGCTCAAGTCCGCTGAATATTTAAAGGCAGGTAGAAGCTCCGTGAGGTTGCCCCCCTACAGACAGCACAAACGATGAAACCCACCTCATTCGTTAGTGCTACGGTTGTGCCGTTGAAAGTAGCGTTTGTGCTGCTCTCGTTTCCGAGATATAGCGCCTTGTTTTCCCGGTGATCACCTGACCACGCACGGTGACTTTGACCTCCAGTGACCCCGTCTGCCCAGTTCAAGCGCTGTTACAGTTGAGCTCGCACCCTTGACATTGTAAAGACAATCAACATCCATAAACATATGAGCCTCCTTAGATGTGAATAATACTAAGACATGGCGCATGCCAACAAATTAATCATCTATGACATAAACCTGTGGTTGTAATGTATGTAAAATCACCGTGATTGTAAGATCTATGGTTTCTATTTTCTAAGGCACGTTTTCCTTTGCGTTCCCTACCGTGACGCGCTGTTGCCAAACGCGTAACTGTGGGATACCATCGCGACAAGACCTCCGCAGCACATCATGATAGGGACCTCATGTACAGTATAAGGCATGTATATCGCGGCAGTATATATCACGACCGGCGCCTTGCTTCCATGCCACCCTGGCACCGCTGTCGCAACAAAGGTCTCATATCAGGACATGATATACCCAGATAGGACGTGTCGCAACATATGGACTCTATGTCGTGACATGGGGGGGTGGGCGTTTTGGCTGGGTATGTCATATCGCGATATGCGGGCTTCATGTCGCGACATGGGGCAGGGCATTTTTGTCGGGGGTATTTCATATCGCGATATATGGGCTTCATGTCGCGACATGGGGGCAGGGCATTTTTGGCGGGGTATTTCATATCGCGATATACGGGCTTTATATCGCGACATGGGTGTAGGCGTTTTTGCCATATCGCGATATACGGACTCCATGTTGCGACATGGGGGCGGGGGCGTTTTGTCGGGGTATGTCATATTGCGATATATGGACAGCGATGCGCCAGTCGCAATGGGTGTCACGATGTGATCGTGATGTGCGCACTCCTATCGTGACATGTTATCGGAGTCGTGAACGCGCTGTGGATGCCCTGACATTCTTTGTCTGCTATTCAGTTTTGACCTCAGTGCGACTTCTCTTAGTTTGATTAGTAATTGGAAACCAATAGATGTGTTACTATATATCCAGCCTGCTCATACAGCACACAGGGTACACAGAACTTCCGCTGTGGCGCTGTAGCCAATCAGAGTGTCGATTCTCACTCTTCACCCAATCGCGGCCCGAGCTGTTCGGGGGTTTAGCCAATCACGGGTCTGAGAGCTGTTCAAGCGGGCAGCGCCAGGTGGGTTGGCGTGTTTACTGTCAATGAGAATCTATCTTTAAAATGCTTTACTTACTTGCAAAATAACTACATCGGCTTATTTTTTTAACGTCTTTGTCCCGTACTCTTCGAAATAGATATATATTTTAACAATATAATTGTCTCCGCCGCTTTCTGTAATAAATACATGGTATTTGAACAATTTTAATCGTATATTTAAGGTAGGGGAAACACCTTCTGCTTTGTACTTCAGAAACGAATAGAAATGTAAAGTCTATGATCATTATATTATTATCCTCGTGCTTTCAGTTTTTTTTTGTTAAATTATATCGATCTTGAAACGAATGCCTAAAAATGTGAATATGGGCTCTCGTGTTGTACCAGCGGTAATTTGGAAACTGGTGTCTCTTCACCAATGAAAGGAGTACACCAGCAATACGTTTTCGAGAACATGGTTAAAAATTAAAAGAAAACACGTAACTAAATGAACTAATATAGTTACTCCTCTCTAAATGTAAGACTGTTTATTCATGTAAAGGCTGCAAAGTCTGGGGTCAACTGATCAAAAGATCACAACTGGAAGATCTGGCGGTCGTGACTTTGCTGTTTTGGACGTCACAGAGAGACGTCCCAGCCAGGAAAAGACGGCGCTATATTGAAATATAGTGAAACATCCAGCCCACCCGGCCAGACAGACTCGGAAAACAAATCGCCCCCATCGTCTTCATCACAATCAGGAGCTCAAGTACCGAGTTTGTTGGTACCTGTAAACATACTTGTAGATGGTCACGTGATTACCCGGAAAAAAAACAAGGCGCTATATCTCGGAAACGAGAGCAGCGCAAACGCTACTTACAGCGACACAAGCCGGCACAAACGATTGCGGTGAGTTTCGTCTTTGGTGCTGTGCGACAGGCAGGTGGGCAACTTCGTGGAGCAGGACCTGTCTGGGTCAGTACATTGCAGACTGCAGAAGACTCGACTTCACCTGAGGATGTAACACAGGCAGCCATACCTGTGTCTTCAGAGGGCAGGTGTGCCCTCACGCTGTGTCCTACACCAAGGACTGGCCGGAAACACAGAGATAAAAGGAGTGTGAGCTCATCGCTTCATGTTTGCGCATAAGACCCCTGTAAATACAAACACGCGGGTAATGACGGTTTATTAAAGAATTCAGATATATGCATACTTCTGTTATGTGAAAATAAAAAATATGTTTCCAATATTGCCGCGGTCCGGTGGACTTTCCAATGGGGCTTCCCGGATGTCTCATTTACTACCGGCCCTTAAAAGTGCCCCTTAAAAAACACCCTGGTGCGTTTTCAGGTGAACGAGTGGGCTTTGCATAAAAAGGGGCAACAGTGGTCTTGTTCGTCAAGTTGCAGGTTCGAACACGAGGCTCGACTGACGGGTCGAATCTTTACACCCTTGGTGTGCGTGTTTATTAATATATAAATATATTGTAACGCAACGGGTCGGCCCCGCACCGTCGGGGGCTCGAACCCGGGACTTCAGCGTCACTCAACAGGGACCCAGCTTGTTGAGCTAAAAAGCGATCTCTGGGCTGTGGTCCTGCTATTACAGGGCAGGCCGGTGTTGTCACCGCTTCGGGAAGCCGGCTCTTACACAGTGCCTGTCGGCCGTATGCGTTACACTATATATATAAGGAGACAGTGAGAAACCGATCGCTTCTTCACCGCTTGTGAAAGCCTCTTGGAAAGAACATGCAATTCTTGGCTAGTGCTCGCTTCTTGAGACTGCACCCGCAGCTCTTCTGATGAGGGTATGCGATATTCGTGACACATTTAACTTTCCTGCTCGCACAAGGGCACAGAAGACACTGCTGTTAGGTGCAACCCCCAGCCCCCCACCCGGGCAGAGCTGGTCCTCTCGCACCCGTAACAGAGCGCTTGAACTGGGCAGACGGGGTCACTGGAGGCCAAAGGCACCGTGCACGGCCAGGCGATCACCGGGGAACTGAGGGAACGAAAGCAGCACAAACGCAGCGCTAACGAATGAGACCGGTTTGGTTCCCCCTACGACATTACAAGGGGGCACTGGGTGACGTCACGGGAAAGGGGAGACCCCTGGGAAAGCTGAGGCTGCTGCTGGGAGAGGTGTGAGTGGGGCCAGCAGGGGGCGCTCACCCTGCGGTCTGTGTGGGTCCTCATGCCCCAGTATAGTGACGGGGACACTAGACTGTAAACAGGCGCCGTCCTTCGGATGAGACGTCAAACCGAGGTCCTGACTCTCTGTGGTCATTAAC